TGACTTCAGTAAGTCATTTCATCTCCCTAGAACACTCAGTACTATCTAGCTGTAACATGGTGTGAGGACAAGCCTGCCCTTTACTTCCCTGTCTGAGAGTTCTTGGGAACTGGTGAGTAAATATTTGCTCAAACTTGGGCTATCTAAGAAAGGAAAGATGCTGAAAGATCCCAGTCTCTGAGACTGCTCCTCTCCAGCATTAGGGCTGTTCATCCATTCTTAAGACATGCTTCAGCTTGGCTGGGAAAGCACATGACCCACCACAATGGCATTTCCAAAGAGTGCTAGGAAGATTGCAAAAATAAGGATAGACTGACTTGCAGCCAATTTCAACACTTGAAAAGTATGTGGGGATGGGATCTGTGATGGAATGTGGGAGGCGAAGAGTTTCTTAGAGATGAGAGTGTGGGATAATCACATCATCTATCTCATGTGAGGAAAGTGGCACAGAGGGACTTTCATATACACATACATGTATATACATATGCGTATGTGCATGCATATATACGTACACATGTATATAATCTCCATAGTACCTCTCCCAGCTGTTAGCATAGACAGTAATAATGCCACTTAGTTCGGTTACTGAGGTTTGGGTCCTTATTTTTAGATTCTCTCTGTGGCTTTCCAGTTGGAAATGCTTTAGTTGCCAGGAGACTACGACGTCATTGGTAGGGGAGGGACTTCCCAAACTCATATTCAACAAGCATTGGAAATATTCCACCTGTTGAAAAAAAAAAGTGTGGATGTGAGGGGGTCTCACTACAGACCATCATGAGGAAACTGGCATGTCCACACAGAAAGAGGAAGACTGTGCTACCTGGGTTTTAGAGTGAAATGGAAAGACCAGATTAGGTGTCAGGAGGAGGATGTAGAGTTGGTTCTATTACCTACCAGCTATATGACCTTGGGAAAGTCCCAGTTTCTCTAAGCCTAAGTTCTCTCATCTGTAAAATGAAAGGTTTAGCCTGGATGATGTCCATGACACCTTATAGCTTTAACAACTTATGGTTATCTCTTTCCTTCTAAGTGTTCCCAAGTGTTGGTTGATTTTTAATGCCTAGGTGGAACAGGAATTTAATTCCTCTAAGAGATGTCCTTTCAGAGGAAGAACAATCAATTCAGAGGGGTCAGAGAGAGATAACAGGTGAGCAGACAAGCAGGACCGGGAACTTGGTGAGGAAGGACTTTACTTCGGGACTGTACTTTCCTCCAGGTTTCTAAGACTGAACATGCAAACTGACTTTTGGGCATGGTGAAAAACCCATCTGTTTAGTCTGGCATTTTCCTGATGGCGTGGGAGAATCAGCAAGCTGAGTCCCACAAACGGAAGTTTTAAATGCTGTACTTTTTACTCCACATGGGGGCTAAGATTCTCTACAATGGGTTCATTAGAAATTGATTAAATATAAACATTTCTGTCTTCACCTAATACTAAGAGATATACTGGTAAAAGTATATAGCTCCTTAGTGATCATATAGGGAGCTAGTCACACAGGTGGTCAGATGGCTAGAGCATTGAACTCCAAGTCAGGAAAAAACTAAATCTCAATTCTGCCTCATACGAGTAATATGACCATGGGCAAGTCACTTAACTTTTAAATCCTCAGTTCTCATCTTTCAAATGGGAATAACAATAATACTATGTTACAAACTTGTGAGAATCAAGATTTTATATACACACACACACGTATATATACACACATATGTGTGTGTATATATGTATATATGGGTATATATATATATATATCACAATACACACACACACACACACACACACATACACATACACACACACACACATTTGCAAACCTTAAAGTGCTAGATGTTAGTTAGGATGATGATGATGATGACCATTTCCTACCCAAAGTATGAACATTAAGTAAACCACTGTCACCTCTCTATTCACAAAATTATACATACTTCACAGTGTCCAAAGGTCTTTAGTTTTCCTACATTGTGTTTCTAGGGAAGGCCCTCATAGGATCAAATTATGGTAGTATCAGAAGTGACCTCCGAGCTAACTCACTCAACCAACAGCTGAAACAAAAATCCCCCCATATAATTTATCTCCACTGAGGGAATCCTACTATCAGCCATAGTTGCCCATTCTATATTTGGTAGTTCTAATCATTAGCAAGTTATTCCTTACATAGATTCAAAATCTACCCATCTGAAACTTACACCCACTGTACCTTATTCTGCTCGCTGGGGACAAGCACAAAAAATCTAATCTCTTTTATACATGACAGTCTCTTAAGCGTTTGAACACAAAGATCATGTTCCCCCTAAGTCTTCTCTTTTACAGGTAAAACATCCTCAGTGGGCTTTAGCCAGTACTCATATGGCATGAACTCAAGCCCTTCCTCATCCTGTTAACTCTCCTCTGGATAAACTCCAACTTAGTCATGTTCTTCTTCAAATAAGGTGCTCCAAAATATACATACATACATACACACATTCACACATATGTATATGTATGTAGCGAGTTAGTATAGTAAAACTTTGCCAAAATTTTTGCCAAAACTTAAATAAATCCTGACCTGCCAATCAAATAACATCCTCAAAAAGATAGCTATGTAGTGTAATGAACAAAGTGCTGGACCAGAACTTAGTAAGTGTTTGAATCTGATCTCATTTATTACTTGTGTGACCAAGAGCAATTCATTTAACCGCTTCGAGTATCGGGTTCCCCATCTGCAAAATGACAATAAGAATAGCACCTATCTTCCAGGGTTGCCATGAAGATAAAATGATATAATGTTTGTCAAATGCTTTGCAAACTTTACAGTGGCATGTACAACATGTTAAGCATCATCATTATCATCAGCAGCAGCACCCAAAAGGGAAATGGGCTTATCTGGAGTGATCTGTCCTTCATAAAATCATACTGGCTTTTAGTGGGAGACTGCTTCCTTGTCTAGATGTTCCCCAATAATCTATTAAAGATAGGTTCTAGAACTTTGGAAGAAATCACAGTCAAAAGAAAGGAAAGTTTCAAAGAAAGGAAACATTAACAAGTCAGGTAGTATTCTGTCTTCTGATTGGGGGGGGGTAGAATCATGAGTTCCAATCCCTCCATCTAAGGAGGAAGACCAGAACAACCTTCTCATTTCTCATCTTACTATACTCATCTGGATTTCTTCTCTATCATGCGACCATGGCCCAGTTACCTTGGCTGCTCCTCCAACCCACCTTTTCAGCTTTCTTTTGTGTGTCCTCTTTTCCCATTAGATTGTAAGCTCTGTGAGGGCAGGTACTGTCTTTTTTTTTTTTGGCATCTGTATCCTCAAAGCTTACTGAACTGCCTGGTGCACAGTAGGTACTTAATAAATGTTTGTTCATAAATGTTTCCTTACTGACTGACTGTCTCCCAGAAGTCGGCAGGCCGTTTTCAAACTGTATTAATTATACTTCAATAAAAGCTTACTATTTAGTAAGTCATTATTTCAGTGTCCTAGTCAGGCAATCAGTCAGTTGATTAGAATTAATTAAGCACTTGCTATGTGCTGAGTACTCTGCAAAGCACTACCAATCCAAAGAAAGAGGAGGGGAGGGATGTCCCAATTCTCAAGCAACTTAATCTAGTGGGGAAGACACCATATTAAAAAACAAACAAAAAACAAAACAACTATGTATAAACTAGATATAGTCAGGAAGAATGTGGGGAGTCTCAGAAGGAAGAAACAGAGATTAAGGAGGTCTGAGACAGTTTTCTCAAAGAAGATGGAATTTTAGTTGAGATTTAAAGGAAGCTAAAGAATCTAGGGGATGGAGAGGAAGAGGGCAAGAATTTGAGGCGTGAGGGACAGCCAGAGAAAATGGATGGAAGGGAGCGGAGGAGAATTATGTGCAAGGAATAGCAAGAAGACCAGTGTTACTGGTTGGAAAAGTACATGGAGAGAACTATTAGGATTATAGATGCAGAGACTGAAGGGACTCGAGAGGCCATCTAGCCCAATGACTTCATTTTGTACATGAGAACTGAAGCCCAGAGGTTGTGACTTGCACAAGGTCACACAAGTAGTCACGTAAAGGAAGTTAAGGCAATTGCACTAGACAAAATTAATCTGAGCTAATCCAAGTCAACTTCTCTGCTCTTATAGCCTCAGTTTATAGCCTATTAGATCTAGAAATGAGTTGTGCTCCCAAATACAGATGCCTACAGTTGGCAGAATTCATTCTCTTTCCTTTTGTGAAAATGAACATAATATTTACTCTTCTCCAATCCCGAAGGTCCCCTCCCATTCAAATCTACCTGAGTGAATGGGGGGAAAATGAGAAGCAGTATGGTATACTGGACATGGTGCTGGGTTTGAAGCCAGAGGACTGTGGTTCAAATCTTAACCTCGCCACCATTCTCTTGGTGTAACCATCGACAGGTCACTCAACCATTCTAGGCCTTAGCACCACCTCTGTAAAATGAAAAGGTTGGACTAAAGGACCTCTAAGCCCCCTTCCAGCCCTAAATCTCTGATCCTGTGTTCCTGGGACAATGGTGGATACACAGAGATATTTAACTCTACTCTTACCCCTAGAGGTAACAACACAAAACTTTCCTGGCTGGGCCCACCCTATGCTACTTAACCCATGGGTTCTAGAAATCTTACCTTATCAAGACTAAAGAGAACAATGTTTCATTAGAGAGAAAGGAACTGGGAATCCTGCCCAAGTGACCTATGTAACTCCCAATAGCTAGGCTCTCTCACATTCAGGAATCACCAAATAGAGTTGAATTTGTGATCTTTCTGAAAGCTGACTGGCTTTATGATGACCTGGGAAAACTGGATGCCAAACGTGGTCTGGCCTAGGGCTAGAAACATTATCTTTACCAAGTCTGTGGCCAGGTTATGATTCTAAATGGTAAGGCAACTTGTTCAGTGACTCAGCTCCCTGATGACAACTTGTATATTAAATGGTCCCCAGGGAACTGTGGGAGATTTAGGAGTAATGGCCCAAGCATGAGTGATTGTAAGAGGCATGACATCTCTGACAGTTACCCGCTGCCCGGTGCTCCTGCCTACCAGTTTCCGGGTCGCACTGATGTTCACAGGGATCCAGGAGCCTCCGGGCACAAAGATCCATGGCCCAGGGCCCACTGGAGTTCTGCTGGGAGAAGAGCAGCACCTGGGCAGGATTTAGCCAATCACTGGCATCCAACTGGCTGCCCTCCAGTAAGATAAAGCGGCTCCCTGTAGAGAAGAGGGGAACAAAACAAAGACACAAAAAAGCACTGAAGATGCAGTAACTTTGACCTAAGCCTACCTGAGGATCAATCTCAAAACGTCATGTCATCCCCATTCACCTTTACAAAACTCCTAAGTCTGAAACCAAGTGATGACCGGAGCCAGGCTGAAGCTTTACCTCAGCTTGAATTATGTGTACAGCTGGGTGGGGGTATTCAGGCATTTTATTACATGGTAATCAACAGTCTGCATCCACTCTACTTCCTGTGGAAGCAAAACTAAATGTGGGCTTTGAGTAATTATGCTAGAGATAAGCAAAGAGAACAACTGGGTTGAAGATGAGATAAAAAAGATGAGTTAGCTTATGGTGCCTTGGCAGAAGAGTTTGAAGAATCAATTTAGTCTCTTCAAGAAGGCATCATAATGCAATAGAAAGAGTCTTGGACTTAGAGTCAGCAAAAAGACATGGGCTTGAATTCTGACTCTGCCACTTCTAGCTGTCTGACCAATGGGCCTCAGCTTCCTAATATGTAAAAAGGAAGAGTTTGTACTCAATGGCTTCTAAGGTCCATTCCATCTGTAAATTGATGATCTTATGAACAGAATGCCTTTACAGTGGAGCTATGGGAACCTCAAAAAAGAGATACAAATATTTCATCAGTGGCAGCTCCTTTGGAAGTTACTGTGGAGCCTGGGGGTAGCCAGAGGGAAAAAGTCCATGTTCATAATCATTATTGGCCATGGATATTATAATCGCTCACTGACAAGCTAAGCTATCCCCACCTCTCCTGAAGCTCCGAATTTCTCTTCTTCCCCCCCCTTTTTTTTTCCTTGGAGGCAATCAGAGTTAAATGACTTGCCCAGGGTTACACAGTTAGTAAATGTCTCAGGCCAGATTTGAACAGGTCCTCCTGACTCCAGGGCTGGTGTGCTACCCACTGCTTCATCTAGCTGCCCTGAGGCTCCCAACTAAAAAATAAAAAATGTTTTCACATTAGAGAGATATTTTTGGCATTGAAAAATTAAGATACGCTGAGGTATAGATATCTCTCTCACTGAAAGGTGATTCCCTTTTGGGGCAATATTAACTTTATTTCAATGAGAGCATACCATTGAGTAAGTCATAGTTAAATGCACTTGAATCATAGATTTCAAGCAAGAAGGGACCTGTACCTTAGAACCAGCTAGCACAATGAAGTCATTTTAGAGAAATGCTAAGAAGCAGTGGTTAAGTGACTTGTCCAAGGTCACAGGGTAGTAATGGACAGTAAGTTTATGCAACCGCACTAAGGAGAACTAAACTTAGTTTCCCCAAATCAACTGCTCCCCTCTTTAGCATGAATATATTAGCTCATTAGACCTAAAATAAATTGTTCTTCAAAAAATATATGTTCATGAGAATCAAATAAAAAGGAGACACATAATTATTGATTTAGTTTCTTTTAGATTTATTTGGTTTCCTCTTTTAGATTTTGCCTGATTTGTTTTAGCCTAATTGCCTGACTTTCTTCAATCTATTTTGATTCTCTTAAGCCTCTATACCTTTGAGTATATATCTATTAATATGCCAACACATTAAAAACATGGTATTTCATCAGTGTAAAAACTGCTGGTTTGGGAAGCACTTTCACTCATGTTAATTGAATCTCATCCTTAACTGACAGTCTTAGAAATTTGCCCAAGTTCAGAAGAGTTTAGTCACTTGCTCATTAAGTGTGAGAGGTGCAATCTGAACCCAGATCTTCCTAACTGCAAGTCCAGGACTCGATTCCTTATTCCACACTGCCTCTTAAAGTCATTAATTACAGAATGTAATTTTTATGATTTCTGTCACTCCCCTTGGTTATGCCTAGAAAATCAGACTGTGAGGAAAGGAGTAGGCCTCATGCGCGGCAGGATGGGCTCACCATCTGCGATCAGGTGCTCAGGGACATGCAGGGTGATTTTGACAATGAGTGGACAGCTCATGTGGGATGAGCAGACAAGGCCAATCACACAGCTGGTGATGCTGATGAGTGTCAGTGTGGTCTTGTTCACAGGACTTCTTGGAGAGCCCACTGCAAGCCAGAGAAAAGAAAGGCAACAAATGGTAAAGAGCCCAGGAAACCTGATCCGAACTTGTGGATTCCCCTCTTTTTTTTTTCTCCTCCCCAGCCCACAATACCCATAAAAGGCCAGCACCCGGGACACTTAGCCCACTGCAGCAGGGGCCATCCCTTCTGAAAGGCACTTCTATTTCCCTCACCCTGTATGACCTCTCCATTCTCAATATGAAGGAAGTGGGAATGTAAAAAGCTTGGAATTAATGTATGTAACCTCATCTCCTGGTACTGCCCCTGGGCTGGGGTCCAACATTATGTTCTTTGAGGAGGTGAAGTGCCAGAAGATCCAGGAAGGAAGAATTCTCTTCATCTAACCAGTCTGCTGGTCTTAAGCTCTTTTGCTCCAAAGTTTATGCTTAAGTGGTGAACTCTGCCCAACTGATCTGGGGCAAGGGCAGGGGGTGGGGCGGGGTGCGAATAGCTCAGTCCTAGTAGATGGTGGAAAAGCTAAAAATAGAGAAAGGCAACATACAGACTTAAAAGGCCCAGTTGCCCAGGATCACAAATGACAAAGAGAGGATATTTACCAGAAAGGGGTAAGGGCTGATCTAAGGCTCAAGTAAATAATTTTTCAGTAAGCACATATATCCCTTATTTGAATATGTAACTGAATTTTGCGTTGTATCCAATGTCCCCGAAAGGAAACAAGTTTCTATTTATTTGCATACATATATACATTACATAATATTTAATTTTAATATATAATATATATATATATACATATATGTACATTCAAAATCAGAGATTTTTTTAATTTCCATTTTAATGGTCCCTAACATTATGGTGTATCATCCTTACCTATAATGTCTTATAGAATTGTTAAAACCAACAGCCAATTTTATTTACGAGGAGAGATTTATATTTAAAAGGAGTCTTTCAGCTCATCTCTTCATGATTTCTCCTTACGAATTTCCTTACATAGGATTTCAAGAACAGCTATACAGCTAAGGAGAACACTTGGTTCCCAATCAAGGATTGAGATTTACATGTGAGATATAGGGAGAGCTATATATCTATATCTATATCTATATCTATATCTATATCTATATATATACATATATACATATATGCATATATGTATATATTTGTGTAAATATTTATTCAACAAATAAAGCTATTTAATGCAGTATTAAAATAAACGACACATGCTGCATTCACTATCATCCATTTATAAACTTTAAAAGTACTACATGTTAGAGCTATTTGTATGTGTATAACAGAGCATAAACTTTTTTTTCTTTTGTGTTTGATCACAAAATAATCCTGCTACTCCCAGGAGGACACAGACTCATCTCATCAAATAGCACTTTCCATGAAGCTGAGATATCTTGTGCACTATTCTCTAGGAGAAATGATCTTCTGACTCCATTTCTAGGTTTGCTGCTCTCTTCCCCTGAAAAGCAAAACTTTATTATGGTTTGGGCAAGACATTTCCCTACAGAATGTGACTTGGACACATGGCTTTGCCTCATTTCCAGATACGTAGGAGAATGTGGATTGAAGATGTTCTACTTCTAATCACTCTATTCAAATTTCCCTCTGGGAAAGAGACTGGATCAGAGGACACCTATATGATAAACACTTGAGTGACAAATAGAGCTGTAATTGGCAGTTTTGGAAGTAGGAGCACACAAAATTTTAGCAATGGGAGAAGAAGATTTTGTGGCACCATCCTACAAGAATAAGGATGACTCAACATAATTTAATGGTAGAGAAATAAAAACCTTAGCTACCCAAGGTTCTCGCTGTGAAGACTGCCATATGGGAAGCCTAGAAACAGACAGATAAGTTGCTGTCATAAATTTTGTTCCCTCTAAATTTCAGTGCCCTGGAATACAGACCTAATTACACCACCCTAGTTACAACTGTAGGCATGAGGTTGTCTAAATAATAATAACTGGTGACATATACCTCAGCTAGAGCTGCACTCCTATATGAAGTTCACAGCTTGGGATAGACACAAAACCCAAGAGATACACATGTGAAATATCTCATCTAGCACTCCTCTCCAGAGTGTACAATCTGCAATCCTCCTCTGTGCTGCCCACTCCTTTGTCACCCCAGGGAGACCTCTAATACCTCTGCTCCGCCTCCTGCTGCGGGAAGGATCTGTGTAAAAAGTCAGTTGGGGGTCATTATCGGCTTCTGTGCCTGAATCTCCTTCAGGGTTCAAGAAGGCAGATCCAGCTGAAATGAAAAGAAATATATCAAGGAAAGCAGCAGTAGCCCAAGAAACAACCTCTCCCCGCCCGCATCCAGTCTAAAATTCCATCAAGCTTTGTGTGGCTTTCCTTTCCCAACTCATTCTGAACAACTGTGGGTTCAGCCAGGGGTGATGTGGAAGGAATGTGCTGGTAAATCTTTAATACCCAGCTTTCCAGAGGGAAAAACAATGGGTTTGTGTGTATTTCCTATCTATGTATCTACATCTATATTCCGTGTGTATGTGTGTGTGTGTGTGTGTGTGTGTGTGTGTGTATAAACACACACACACATACACAGGAGACATGTTTAAATTTAACCCACTTGATGAACATTTTCTCCATCACTTTCTTAAGGCTAGATAATTAACAAAAATCAAGCCATGGTTTGAGCATATAATGATTCCCAGAGTGTGGTCACACTGAAAATTTAACAATTGGCTCTCAGAAACCTGTACACAATGGCTCCAGGACACCCCTGCTTGGTCATGTATAAACCTGTATGAATGTTACAGAATGTTCGATATACCACACAGCCCTCACTGTCTTAAGGAAACAAAAACAAGAGCTCAGGACCTAAATCTACTCTAGGAGAGGTGATGAGAAAATTTCAACTCCATTCAATTCAACAAACATTTATCATAGGCCTATTATATGCCAGGTCCTATGTTAGGCTTTGCAGTTTACAGAAGTAGTGTAAAGGATGAGCAGAATAAATGCATAGTAATGGGTTGGTGCAGCTCTGGATAATATCTGTTTGGAAAGGATGGGGGACAGGAAAGGCTGTTAGCCTCACAATGACTCTCTGACTCATTTAGACAGGAAGACTTTGGCAGTGCCCACTTAACACCATACCATGAAGTCATATCAGTGGGAGGGAAACCTTATGAACTAAACCACATTTTGTTTCTGGTGAGGCAATTGGGGTTAAGTGACTTGCCCAGAGTCACACAGCTAGTGTTATATGTCTGAGAAGTGATTGAGAGCTTGAGGTCGGATTCGAACTCAGATCCTCCTAACTTCAGAGCCAGTGCTCTATCCACTGTGCCACCCAGCTGCCCCTCTAAACCACTTTTTTTTTTAACGCATAGATGGGAGCTAATTTGTCTTCTAATTATATTGTCATCCCCCTAACTCTAGAGCTGGAAGGAACCTTAGAGAACATCTAATTCCACATCCCTCATTTTTATAGATTAGGAAATTAAGTCTCAGACATATGAAGTGATTTCCCTAGGTCACACAGGGAGCAAATTATAAAGCCAGAATTTGAATCCATATCCTTCAGCTTCAAATCCAGTATTCTTTCTGCATCATCACATGGCTGTCATCATTTTGATATAGTCTAATCATAATAGCTATGAGGATAGGGATTCCTAACATATAGCAGGGACCACCAAAGTTCACCGTATCCATCTCTCTGTCTAAACCATCAATAAGGACCTCAAACAAAGATAGATCTAAACAAAGTGGAAGAGAGGACTCTCCCATTAAATGGCAAAGTGGAAAGAGGTCTGGATTTAGAATCAGGAGACTTGGGCTCAAATCCTGACTTCATTTTTTTTAGCTGTATGTCTTTAGGTGAGTCACGACCTTGAGGACTTTCAGTTTCCTTAGCTATAAACCGAAAATAGTGATGCCCCTATAAACTACTCTGCCTCACAGTCTTACTGCAAGAAAAAAAAAATTTGGCAAACCTTAAGCATTATGCAAATGCAAGTTATTCTCTATGTTGATACAAGAAAATTAGGTTTTAGTGGGTATGTGATAAGATAGCTTCCTCTCCTTCCAGTATTACCTTAAAGCTCACAAATCTTCCCCCAAGCTGCCAGCAGATCTACAAACACGCAGACTCATCTCTGGGGGCCTCCACACATACCTCGAGCTTTGTTATTGATCCGTTTCCTCTGGTTGCTGGAAGTGTGGGACAGTAGGGTCGCCTGCTGGTGGTTGGCATCCACAGGGCTGGTAGCGATGATGTTGTCTTTGTATTTGTTCATCAGGGACAGCTTGGCATTGTCGCTTCCTGAGCAAGGAGAATCAAAGGCATCGACTTTGATGGGAAAGACCAAAAAAGCATAAGAGAGCAGAGAAATTCAGAGGTACAGAGCAGTAAGTTTCAGATATTGTTTAAGTACAAAATATTTAGAGAGAGCAGATGCTGACTTCGATGCTACAAGGACCTGCTGTTTCAATAGTGTTGGGATGCCTTGCACAAATGCAGATAGCAATCCTATACTTTAGCAGAAATCTTCTTAAGCTGATGTGACCAAAAAAGCTCATCCCTTGGTGGCCTGTGTTCTGGTGATAAAGATTTACCAGGCAGCAATGGGGAAATGGACAGAACATTGAACTTGGAGTTAGCAGCTCTGAGCTTGAGTTCAACCTCAGACTCTCAATACTTATATGACTCTGGGCAACTCATGTCCCTTTAAGGTCCCTTTCAGATCTTCATCTATAGTTCTATGATCTTCTCCAAACCTAGCTGGTCCTAAAACAGTCCTTGGACAGAAAGCAAACATTTATTAAGCACTTTCCCCACCCATACCCAACCTGGCCCCAGTGAGGAAAGAATTTTGCTAGATGCTAGAGTCACAGGAACCAAAAATTAAAGTCACTGCCCTCAAGGAGCTTAGGTTCAAATAAGGAAATAGGGGATGTACGCATGCGTGTGTGTGTGCGTGTGTGTGTGTGTGTGTGTGTGTGTGTGTGTGTGTGTGTGTGATTGGTAGTGGGGAGACATAAGTAGCTAAGGGGAATTAAGAAAGGCTTCATGTAGAAAATGTCACTTAAGTTGAGTTTTGAAGGAAATAATGAATTTCAAAGAAGGGAAGGGATATGAGGAGGAATTACATTCCAAATTTAGAGGATGGCTTGTGAAAACACATTAAGACCAGAAATGGAATGTCATGTGAGAAGAACAGCAAAAAAACCAGTTCGAGGGGGATCACAGAGTATAGAACAAAGGTAATATATAATGAGACTAGAAAAGTTAGTTAGAGACAGGTTGTAAATGAATCTGAATGCAAAACCCGAGTTCATATTTGATCGCAGAAGTAAGAGAAGACAACAGGGTTCACTGGGTAGAGACAGTTGGCAAAATGGTCAGACCTGAGCTTTGGGAAAATTACTTTGGTAACTAACAGAAGACAGACTAAAGAGGGAAGAGACTTAAACAGAGGAAATTAATGAGGAGGCCACTGTAAAAGTCTACGAAATAGGTAATGAGGACTTGAAGTATGGAGAGTGGAGAGAAGAGGATGAATGTGAGAGATATAACTAGAGATGACAAGATTTGGCAACTGATTGAATATGTGGGATGAGGGAGAATGAAGAGTTGAGGACAATACAGAGGTTGTAAACCTCTAAGACTAGAAGAATGGCGGTACCCTCCCAAAACAGAGGTGGGCTTAGGGGAAAAGATAATGAGTTATGCTTTGGACATTTGAAAGGGATACCGGATGTCCAGCTTGAAATGTGCCAGAGGCAATTGGTGATTAAGGATTGGAGCTTGGGGGATAAAATAGGACTTGATGGATAGATTTGGGTATCATCTCCTTAGCGACAGAGGTCATCACGTGAAATGTAAAGATCATTCTTGTATGTGTGTTTGAAGGTCCTCTGCTTTCTTTGGCCTTTGGAGAGCTTCTATTTCATCAGAGCAGATTTGAGGTCTGACATATTGGGTCATCAAAATAGGACTCAGGGAGTGGGGTGCTATAAAGAATGTAGGGTGAAGCCTTTAAGGTGGGATAATCAAGATGAAAATGTGTTGCTGGATAGTTGGGTATAGTGGAAAGGACCTGGGAAAGGTATAGCATCAGAGGACCTGGGTTTGTACCCTAGCTCAGCTATTTATTACTGGTGTGATCTTGGAAGAATCTCTTAGCATCTCAAACCTCAGTTTCCTCATCTTTAAATTGGACTACATACTCTTCAAAATCCTGTAATCTTGTAAGACCAAAACTTGCTTTCAATTTAGTGTGGCATAATGAATAGAGCATTGTACGTAGCATCTTAGAAGATCTGTGTTTGAATTCATCCCACTTACTAGCTGTTTGACCTAAAACAAGTCATTTAGCTTCCCTAAACCTTAGTTTTCTCATATGTAATATGGGCATGAAATACACTTGTCTCACAGTGATTTGCAATCCTTAAAGTGCTCTATGAGTTATTATTATTGTTAACATTAAACATCACTCCCATGCTTAGCACTGTGGTAGGCACTCTTGAATAAAGAAGATGTATGAGATTTCTTCTCTACCTTCATTGAGCTTTATAAGATTAAAATCTCACTGGAGAAAAACTTATACACATTAAACAATAAGGAAATAGAGTAGACAGTATGTAAAGTGAAAAGCTCTCAGCTGTTTCCCTAACAGAAAATCTGGACTGTCCCTTGGGGCTTATCGTCATAGGAATTGACCTGCAGGGAATTTGTTTCTGGAGGTGCATAAGAAATACAGAGAAAAGAAAATAAAGTGGGGGAAGAGAAGGAAGAAATGGAATCTGTTCCTCCTGAGTTTTCCATCCATTTGAGTACTTTGAGCTTCATCATATGCCAAACACTTCATTTCTAAGCTTCAGCTATCCAGCAGTTCCACAGAAGAGAAATGTTGGCATGTGTCAAACTGATACCTTTAACTCATTATTTTTCCTATGGAGAAACAATGTCCTTTGGGTCACAGATAAAGGAAAAGAAATTACAGTAATTTGTATAAAATAGAAGCCCAGAGTTGGAAGGAACCTCAGAGATCACTGAGTCAAACCTGAACCTAATCAGATATCCCGCCTACCTCATATTCAACAAGAGGTCAGCTAACTTCTGCTGGAAGATTTCTGATGATGGAGAGCTCACCTCTTTCTGAGGCAATTTAATCCACTTTCAGAGAACTCTGCCAGGATTTTTTCCCTGATTTTCTGACATAAAGTCTTAGAGATTGTGGGTAATAATGTGACAGAAAGTGTTATTCAAATTCAAATTCAACAAACAAATTCAATTCAACAAATATTTATTAGATGTCTAATATGAACAAAGTGCTAGGGATACAAAGCTGAAAGACGACAGAGTCCCTGCCCACAAGGGACTTATAATCCAATGGGGCAGAAATGACAAGTATACAAGTAAATATGATACAAAGTATAACACAAGGTGGGAAAAGGAAAAACAGTGCTATAAGTTCAACAAATGTTTATTAAGTTTATACTCTGTGTAACACATTGTACTCAATGTTGGGGTTACAAAGATCAAAAATGATGTAGTCCCTGCCCACAAGAGCATGGTAATCTAATAGGGAGATGAGACATATCATAGACGCTTCTAATACAAGGTAGAAGGAGATAAGTGCAAAACAGAAATCCAGTAGGAATACCTGAGCAATTTGGGGACATCTGGGGACAACAAGAAAAAAAAGACTTCCCAGAGAAGGGGCTACCCAAGTTAGACCTTAAAGAATCATTTTCATTTGTGAAGGACAATAAAGTTGTGATCATTCTATATGTCCATATCAATACATACACATAATGGATTTTTCTGCCTCTTTTGTTTCTTAGGCCAGATGCATGACCCAGTTCAAAGGGTGTGAAGGCACTCTTGTGTTTAATGTTGATGAGTCTCAAATCCCAACTTGGGTTGAAAAGAAAAAGGGATTCTCTCCAGAGATTCTTGTCTAGATTTTTGATCCAGTAACAATTCTCAACATCATTGCAAGTGACTTACTCTGCCTCTCCATAGGCAACTAGACATTGAGATAGCTAACCATTTTTGGAAATCACTGCTTGAAATTGAGAGATGTACACCCTCCCCCATCTCCAACAGGCCAAAGCTAGAGAGCCTCATGGAGCCCCAGAGAGACCAAGAACCATTTGATCCTTCTCACCTGGTGTGAGGTCCATCCCAGACTTCTCATTGCAGCCTTGGAGTGAGTCCAGAGTTCGGGTCACCTGACTAGCAAAGTCTTCCCCTCCATTCATGCACTCCCGCTGCAGGTGGTGCCTCAGATCTGTGATGTCATACTCATAGCCATCCAGGATGGGGGTCTCTCGAATGCTCAGGGTGCCACTTGAATTGTGGCCCTGTACCCGTGCATTCCTCAGGCTTTCACGACCATGGCCACCAATCAGAACCGAAGGGATGTAGTGGATCTCATTAGCTGCCTCTGCACTGGCACTCTTCTGCGGCTGAGGCACACGTCGCCGCTTACACCAGCGTCGACGGGTATAGAGGATCATTACTAGGCATAGGATGGATAGCAGCAGAGCAATCATCCCCCCCTGGGGAAAGAAGAAAACAGACAGCTAGGAGATGCAAGGCTAAAGGAGGGCTCACACTCTGGCCATCCGAAAGAGAATTAATTCAAAAAATCTTGATGCTTCAACTACCAAAACTCAACATTCACTCATTCACTTTTTTTCAGTAAGCATATATACGGTGCCTGCTGCATGCATAGCTCAACAGCAAGAAACAAATGGCTATAATCAGTGCTTAAACTGAAAGAAAAGGAAGGTGGATGGCTTGTGTATCATTCTACAGTGAAGTATCTTATGATCTTAGGTGTAGACCTAGAAGGGACCTTTGAGGTCAAGTCCAATCTTTGTTTTCCAGATGTGGAAACAGATCCATGGAGGTTAAGTGGTTTCATGAATGTTACATAGCTAGATTATGTCTGAAGCAGGATTAGAATCTAGGTTTAAATGTACTTCAAAAGTGGTAGGATAGGGGCAGCTAGGTGGCACAGGGGATAGAGCTCCAGCCTTGGAGTCAGGAGGACCTGAGTTCAAATCTGGCCTCAGACACTTGACACTCACTAGCTGCGTCACCCTGGGCAAGTCACTTAACCCCAATTGCCTCAGCCAAAAAAAAAAGTGGTAGGATGATTTTTTTAGGTCCTTTGGAAAAGGAATAAACAGCACTTAGATTTAGAGCTAGAAGGACCTTAGAGGTCATCGAATCAAAATATCTCATCTTACAGATGAGGAAACTGAGGATCAGAGGGTTTGAGTGACTCATCTGGGGTCAGGCAGCTGATGTGTCTGAGGTAAAATTAAAACTCAGGTCTTCCTAATGCCTAATACTTAATCCACTATGCCACCTAGCTTTTTCTTATCTCCTCCTGTTCTCCCCTGCCAATTCCTACCTCTCATCCTATTGTTGCTTATAGCAATTTCACCTAGATGGCAACATCAGATAAGGATGACAACTGGCAGAATCAGTGTGCCCCGCTGTGCACAGTGTGGCTCTGTGCTGCCTCTGGAGACAAAGGATTCTGGTTCAAATCCCACCTGAAATGCTTATTACTTGTGATACCCTAGGCAAGTCAGTTTATTCATCTGTAACATAAAGGCTAGGGCTATATAGGGTCTTTGACGTTCATTCCATCTTTAGATTCTATAACCTACAATTGGAGAATCTTGGAACCCCAAAATGGGGAGAGAAGGGATGTTTAACTCTTTTCTCTAGTAAACTGTAGCTTTCCAAGACAACCCTCTCTGAATCACACAGTGGAAGCTATAACCTCAACCTTTTATTTCCCTATCTTTGGCAGAGGCTAGAGCTCTTTCACTCTGGTCCTCCTCTTCCTTAGCAGCCATTGTCTCTGTGGCTAGCTAAAAATCAACACTACTGTAGTCTGTCAGTGCAAGGCTGTGGCATCACAGTACGGCTGAACTGTCACCTCTGACATCCATCCACAGCAAGGTTTAGAGTAATGGCCTTGTAAGCCCATTACAGTGGAGGTAGGCAAGCATAAATCTTACCTTCTGCACTCTGTATTCCTTTCCTTTATTTTGGTCAATATCACTCCCAGCCTGCTTCATTAGGCTAAGGTGGGCCACAAGGTTTAGTTCCTGACCTTGGACTTCAATCAATGCCAACACATCACACAGACTGTAGATGAAAAACCCTATTAATTCTCAGTGAGTCCACCCACTGAGAGGCAGAAGATTATTCCCCTGAAATGCATTAAAGGGGGCTTTTTCCAGCTTCATAATAATTATTCCTTCGATTTACAAAGCTCTCCCTGCCCCAAGCCTTCCCATTTATCTCCCCTTACAATATCATCGTATAGCAAAGGAAAACAAAGTTCAGTTTCATACTCATTTTAGAATAAGGGCACAAAAGCACAAAGACACGAAGGGACTGAATCAGACCCCGAGTGACAGGTCACATTAGGTTTTTGTCAGTCATGGACACAAGTCTAGTACCCGGCTCCATCCCCTTAAATTCTGTCTCAATGTCATTCCCACTCAACTAGACTTTGAAGAATTCTCAACGGGCTTTGAGCTGTGGGATTTCTACTACTGAGCTTTGACTCTTGGAGACTTCTTTAAGGAATAATTTTCTTGCTACATTTCATCTAAGTCCCACTAAGTTCCCTACTTTTTCTCAATCTGCAATTACAATAGGTCTTTGGGTCACACAGAAAGAAAAATGGCTTGACCACGAGAGGTTTTGGACATTGGAATAAACTAGTGAAAAAGATGGTCCATCTTCACTAAAGAGCCATAGAAATAACACAAACTCCCATCTGTTGGGAGTAATCATATTTATTTTTGTACCTCCCCTGTTAAAGTATAATCTTCTTGAGGGCAGGCTTAGTGTCATTTTCCATCATTTTAACTTTGTCAATCGCTCAACAAGGATTTGTTAAATACCCACTATATGTCAGACACAGTTGCGCACTGGCAATTCAAAGACAAAAAAAGAATTGATTCCCATCCTCAAGGGATTTTACTTACTTCCTATGTTAAGCAACTAGCACGGCATGTCTTGAATAGTTGGCATTTAATAGGGTCATAGGATCATAGATGAAGAGGTCACATAATCCAACATTCTTATTTTACAGATAAAGAAACTGAGGCCCAGAGTAGCCAATGACACAAAAGCAATTAAGTGACAGAGCAAAGATTTAAATCCAACTCCTCTCATCTCAGTGTACTGCAATGGGGTGGGAGAGGGGCAGCTAGGTGGCACAGCTGTAGAGCACAGGGCCTGAAATCAATAATACCTGAGTTCAAACACAGCCTCAAATACTTATTAGCTAAGTCGTTTAACCTCTGTCTGCTTCAGTTTTCTCAACTGTAAAATGGGGATAATAATAGCACCCACCTCTCAAGGTGGTTGTGAGAATCAAATAAGACAATATTCATAACTTTCTTAGTAGAGTCCCTGGCATGTAGTAGGCACTTAATAAATGTTTACTCTTTTCCTTCCCACAAAAGAGTTAAAAGGGACAGATTGTAAGGGATCACCTTATTCAAACCCCTTATCTTCCTAATGTGGATCTGGAGGGTGTGGAAGGTTAAGCTTGGTACATCGTCACTAAGATAATGTGTCAGAACCAGGGCTAGAGCCCAGACCGTCTGCGTCCAGGGATCTCTCCATCATACTTCTCTGGTAGAAATAGGAGAAACTGACAATCTCTCAGTATCCTTTCCAACTGTCTTGACTTTCAGAATTTTTCATTCAGTTGGTCAAAGCAGAGCACAGATGTGGGCAAGGCTAAAGGTTAAATCTATGTACTAGCACGTTAACCTCACTCAGGAGAAAATGCAACCAAAAAAAAAACCTCTGTCAAGGACAATATCTCTAAGCCCGATCAGCCATATCATAAATCCACAAGAGAGTGTTAATGACTCATCACAGAAAAAAGGTTCTTAACCTTTTTTGGGTCATGGACTCCTTTGGGTGGTCTGGTGAAGCCTATGGAACTCTCTTCAGAATAATGTTTTTAAACACAAAATAAAAAGCATAAGATTAATAAGGTGACTGATTATATTGAAATAGAACTGTTTAAATTTTAAAGGAAAAAATATAGTTCACTATATCTCAGGTTAAGAATCCTGGTTATATAGGAATCATGGTTTTACTGTACACACACACACACACACACACACACACACACACACACCCCAATTCAAAAAGCATAAGTCGTTGACAGTAGATGCTTAGGACCATATTCATACATGATAGGCTTTCTTTTATTAAATACCAGTCAGATACACATAAAAGTATGAAACCTGCTGTCAGGGAATAAGGTAGATTATCCACACTGTAGGTTCTTCCTGTTAAAGGGAGAAACCGGCTCATTCTACATCACCGAACATACCAGGTTTGATCCATAGTATGAATAAATCTCACCCAAAGTGAAGTGCTGTTTAATGGGGCTGGATTTCCCCAGGCTCATCTTAAATTTTTCCTTATTCAATTTATACAGCTCTGACCTCTAGTTTCCATATGGGAATTTGCTAAGGAATGAAATTAGACCATGAACTCCTTGAGAGCAGGGACAGGTGTTATTCTGACTTTGTTTCTCCAGAGGTTATAGCCCAGTGCCTGGCACATAGTAGGTGCTTTAAAAATCCCAGCACTTATGGGATATTTGGATACTCATCGTCTGGCTCACTGTTTTTGACGCTTCTGATCTTGCTTCCCTAAATCATCCATCTGTGGTGTTGGTCAGCTTTGTCATTGTCCTCTGAGTTCTCTCCAAATGGCTGCTACTTTCTAGTAACGAGTTGCTCCAAAATGAGCTGAAGAGCTTAGCTGAGAGTCCCAGCACAGCCATATGAAACAAGGCTACCTTGCTCTGCTGCAGGGATATGGTTTCTTAGTTTCTGAAGCTTCATTCACTATCAGGTCCCACGCTGCATTGAAAAACTGGATTGAATTGACTGGCACCCCCCTTCAGGATTCCTCAAAACCACTCCACACTGATTCCCAGAGCCTGCCAGGCCTGACTAATCCTCCAGGCATGTGACTCAGAGAGGCAGTGAACAAGTACCCTGCTGTGATGACAACAGAACCACACTAGTGGACCCAAATGCTGGCCCAATTACCTTGACAGGCTGCCTCAAAAGGACTTTTCTAAGCATGGCTCCATTTTTTTTAATTAAAATTTCGTGATTCCCAAGTACACCGAGAATCATACAAGTACCTGCCCTCTACCAGTCCTTGCTGACATGGATTGCAATCACCCAGGAAGACCTGAGTTCAAATACAGCCTCTGACACATACTACCTATGTGACCTTGGACAAATCACCTAACCTATGCCTCAGTGTCCTCATCTGTAAAATAATGATAATAGTATCGCCTATCTCCCAGGATTATTACGACATCAAATGAGACAAGAATTGTAAAGCTCCTAGGACAGTGCCTGGCACATAGTAAACACTATATAAATGTTAGCTATTAGTATTAATAATACTACCTACTTCACAAGGTTACTGTGAAGGGCAATTGAGATAATACATGCAAAGTGCCTTGCAGACCTTA